TTTGTAATGGGTTTTCATGTTTTTGTTTCGTCGCTCCGGCGGGAACACGGCATCAACAGTATGGTGAGGGGTGTAACATTTCCGTCACACGCTTGAGATATTCAGCCAATCACAACGCACTGGCCAATCAGAGCACACCTCGCTTTTCAGACCGATGAGCTTTGTAAAAATCGGCGGCTTTCAAAAAGGCGGAGCATAGAGGAGAAACAATAATGTACAGTATGTGGAAAATAATGTGGTTTTTTTTACTTTAAACCGCATAAACACATTTCATTACACCAAATACACCAAATAATGTTATTTTTAGCAGCATCATATGACCCCTTTAATGAATTTTTGGATGTGTCAAAGTTTTTATATAATACACTTTCGATAGAGGCACTGAAACTTCATTTGTGTTTCGAAGATGACGAGCGAAAGTATTATGGGTTTTGGAACATAAATTATGACAATTTTAATTTTGGGGTGAACTAACCCTTTAAAATGTTGTTTTCTCAGATAATGGCACTGGAACAACAAATACAGCTTGAGAAAACAAAGGCCTCTCAGGAAAAAGAGAACTTGGTAAGAAATGCCTTTCCTCATTTGGGAAAACAAGGATAAATTCAGTCTTTGTTCTTATCATTGTGGTTTGAGCTTTATTTTGTCAGATTAATGTTTTAAAACAAAGATTGCAATCACAGAAATACACCATCAATACAAAGCATGAAAATACAATGTTTGAAAAATAGAAAGTCATCCATTTAAATAAATAAATAGATAAATAGCCATTCACTTAAAAAAAACTTCATTCCATCTATACAGCAACTGTATACATGCCAAAGATAATGATAATGCCATTTTTACATAACTAAAAGTATCGTCTTTGTGAACATTAATTTGAACACTGGCATTTCTTTCATATGGATAATAGATAATACTCAATAGATACATTTTTATATTAAACACAGTTTTTCCCAGTCCAGTGTTATTTTTTAACAGGAACTGATCAGGTCATTCGTGTTCTCACTGCCTTGTTGCTGACTGCTCAGCGTTTCTCACTGATTGTCATCACAGGCCGCTCAATACACACTAAAGATCAATGAGCTGGAGGAGAAGTTTAACAAGAGATCTAGCGAGTTCAACTTGATTCAAGAGGAGCTTAAGATCATCAATGACTTCCTTAAGAAGAAGCCCCAAATGGAGCAAGAACTTAAAAATTTATAATTTACTCTGTTTATTTCATGTACACAGTTATGCAGCACTACTAGTATAGAGTGCTTTGTCTGTTATAACGTCACCATTGTTTGCACAGATGAAAGAAACTGTGGACAATGCAGATCTAGAACACAAGAAAACACTTGCAAGAATGGAGCAAAAGTTCTTCAATAATAAGGTATATACTAAAAAACATTTCAGCAAAATCTTCCTCATTCTCTCTCTCAGTGTCTCTCTCATTCTACATTCATTAGGTTCATCTAGAGAAGGAAGCTGAGCAAAAGATTGCTGTGCTTGCAGAAAGAGCTCACAATGAAGCCATCGTGTATGTATCTTCTCCATCTCTCCCAGTATCCCAGCACCACTACACATTTCTACCTGATGCCTTTGGAAATGTTTGTGAGATACATTTTGCATGAGATAAATGAGATGACATCCTCCATCTCGGCCCTATCAGACAGCTGGATGACGCATCTCGCTCCATGTTCAAGGAGAATGCGCGACTAAATAAAGCATTGGGTTACCACATCAAAGAGGTGGAGGATCTGCGGAAGAGAAATGCAGCGCTGGCAGAAGAGAACAACATCCTTAGTCTGCATAAGGTGAGACACACTGTAGTTCACCAAGACTACCATTTAATAGTTTGAGGTCAGTTTTTTTTTTTGTTGAAAGAAATTAATACTTTTATTCAGCAAGGATGCATAAAATTCATTAGAGGTGACAGTAAAGACTTTTACATTATTATAATTATTTTACATGTTACATTATTATATTGTATTAATTATAATTTATGTGTACTATATTATTTATTATACTATATTATAAAAAATTATAATTACAACTTTCTTGGGCACTCACATAAATGCACACATGCACAAATGAAATGAAATTTAAAATAAGCTTAATTAGACCCTTGTCTACTATAAAGCTTGCCTATGAAGAAGCAGATATTTATAATGACCAGTGTCATTGGAACCCACAATTTCATTCACCCTGCAGGAGATGAGTCAGGACACCTCAAATGACACCATATCTAAGCTTATAGCCCAGCGGAGCACAGTTTTTGGGCTGAGGGCCAAGGTGTTCACGCTGGAGCAGGCCCTGGCCAGCAGGGTGGCTGAGTTTGAATGGGAGAAGGCTGATATCAAGGAGTGTGCTGCAGTCAGGAGTCAGGACAGCGGCGTAGAGCTGGACAAACTGCAGAAGCTCCTGAGCGTACGGGACAGAGAGCTGAGCCAAGTGAAGAGAATAGCCCGCAGCATAGTGGAGTAGCGCTCAGACATGGAAATCCTGTTCTATGAGGCT